GGCCATGCCGCTGCCGCTGCCGCTGCGCCCGGTGCCTGCCGTGCGCCTCTTCCCACACCCCACGGGGCTCCGCACACGGGACGACTGTGCCACCACTGCCCTGCACGGGGGCTGGCCGTCCCCGGCGGGGACACAGGTCCCGGAGAGGTTCCAGATCTGGGTGCTACGGCTACGGGGGTTGCTCCAGCGCCCTGCGAGAGCTGCCGACAGCCCGCGGCGGGGGGCCGGGGCAGGTGGGCCACGAACAGCATCAACGTGGTAAGATCCACTTCAAACTAAGGCTCTCCAAACACGGACTTAGGGCAACTGAAATACGGGTTTATCTATCTGTGCGACTAGATAGATACACATCTACCCACACACAAACATACAACAAACTATATATACATATATGCACACACACGTACACACACGCACACACGTATGCACACATATATGTACATATAGATACTCTGTACATCAGCAGGCAAAATTAGTGAAACACCTGAACGGTTTGAAACTACTTAAGAGCAGATCTGGCACCGCATGCTGAGAAAGCTCATTGCGCCGTGTCGTGACTGGGATCCCCGAGCACGCCCCCCCCAGCGAGAACAGCTAACACCTCAGTTCTCGTCTCTCCTCAACATCCCTCCACTCCAGAGGGGTTTTCCAGACTCACCATGGCAGCTGCAGTCGCTGCTGCCTGGGCAGCTGCAGCTTGGTTAACCTGGTACTGGGCAGCCTTGATCTTGGCTTGCAGGTGTGCAGGAGGGTGAAAATATTTGCACTTTTCCCGTGAGCATCTCCCTTTGATGTAATCCATGCAGACGGTGACCGTGTTGTCGTTGGTGTCGATCATGGCGCTGTCGGCAGGGTGAGCGAACCGGCAGTCGTTCTCTCCCCTGTTGCAGTTGCCACGCTGGTACTCTCGACATACCTGCGACACAGGGAAAAGAAAGTCGCTTAATTTGGGTGACGGGTGTCACGGGCAGGGCTGGGAGCACAGTCAGGGTTTCTGAACGTCTGCGGCAGCGCTGCGAGGACGGGCGCCGGGCCCGGGAGGAGTACAGCGGCGGTGGGACGGTGGGCTCGGCTCCCTGCCAGCAGGGACCGGGCTTCTCTAAAGCCAATTCTCATGTCAAAGAGCATCAAAACCCACCAGGATCAAGAGCCAAGCACACCGCAGGTTCTATTTTGCCTCCCACTTAGCCGCCCACAGGGCTTTTTCTGTTTTCTGGAGAAGGTGCAGTGGCCAGCTCTCAGACATCACCCCAAGCCCCACAGTGCTCGCCCGCGGCCGGGCGCCACGGGGATCTGGCTGTGCCCGAGTTACCCACGCTCTACCCATTGATTAAGATGACGGG